AGTATCCCTCCATGCTAGTTTTAATGGAGATAGCAGAAGAGCTATCCCAGAAAAACTGTGAGCTACAGCTCCAGTGGATACGGAGAGACATCAACCAGCTAGCGGATGACCTCACGAACGAGGAGTTCAAGGAATTCGATCCCTCTCAGAGGATAGATCTGAAAGGAGAGGAATTCCAGTGGCGTGTTCTGGGCCGGCTACTCGCGCATGCAGATAGCTTCTACCAGGAGCTAGGCACGCGAAAGCGAGGGACCCCGGATAGGGTGTCCAAGTTTAGCCGTAAGGCCAGAAAGCTAGATCCCTGGTAGCCTGAGTGGCGATGCGTGGGGATAGATAGCCGAAGGCTATCAGTTATCTCCAGGCAACCTGGGATAGTTGCCACTCCAGACAAAAGAACGTCCGTGCTAGCTGTGTTGCTTGTTCGTCTGGTCGTCGCTCGGCTAGCTCGCTAGCTATCTACTTTTGTACTACTATCGTCCTGGTGGAGATCCGGGGATGGTGGTGGGATATAGGAGCTAGTGCACGTACCTCGTGACGAGGAACGAGTTACGACTATGTGTGCTAGCTAACCTATTACTACTCGAAGCTATCGAAGGTAGCTTCGCTAGAAACGAAGTTTCGTTCGCTATCGTCGCTCGCAGGAGAGTTGCCTCTGACATGCGAAGACAGGATAGCTGTGACTTGGAATGGCTACGACGGTGTGTGACCGTTGCCATTCTGGATAAAGTCCCCCATCAGGGGGGGTAATTTTGAAGTACCCACCCTGCCCACCCTGGGGATAGATAGCCGAAGGCTATCAGTTATCTCCAGGCAACCTGGGATAGTTGCCACTCCAGACAAAAGAACGTCCGTGCTAGCTGTGTTGCTTGTTCGTCTGGTCGTCGCTCGGCTAGCTCGCTAGCTATCTACTTTTGTACTACTATCGTCCTGGTGGAGATCCGGGGATGGTGGTGGGATATAGGAGCTAGTGCACTTCTTATTTGATTGTTTTCATGTTTGGAAAAATTGTTAACAATTTTTCATGCGCACTTTTTCCTGTCATGCCTTGCTGGAGCATATTGCATGACTTGCTGATTTTCTCACGAGTGCTTTACCATGCTTGTCTTGGTATTCGCAGTTTTGCTTGCAGGCGTGAGAAATTTTTTGTCCCACCCGCCCGCCCTTCTGGTGTGGGGAGTGGCATCAGTTGCCTTTTTGCTTGCTGGAAGTTTTCACTTGCAGGAGAATGCCGGAAATCTCGATGCGGGACAATCTTAGCTTTGCCATTTTCCGAACATCGGCCACGAATGTGGAGCCGGAATCATTATCAGTCTGCACCCCTCGCTCTAAAAAGAAATAGTGCCGTGCGAGTGTTTCAGTCCGTGAGTGCAGCTGTGATTACAGTCATGTACATGTGCTTCATGCTTTGTAGTGCGCTTGGCTTGAAAACATAACCAAATAATTATTTGCTTCGCTTTTGAACTCTCTTGGGCGATTTCGTGTCGCATTTGCTTTTGTGTTGAAAGAAGACGTCTGTTCACATTCTTTTGTTTATTTTCACTTTGTACGGTTTGGGTTTGGAGTTGAAGGTTTACGGTTTAGGCGGCTTCAAAGGCGCGGAAAGTTTGCCATTTACAAAAAGCGGGAGGGTTGGGGGGGGCGCGGACCCCCCCATTTCAGCTTCTAAGAGCGGGCCCGCTGAACGATTTTATGCGGCCTTTGTGTGTCTCTGGATTTTCATGTTTCTGCTTCTGATTTATTCGCTTTTAACCCCCTTATATAAGCGATTTCGTGTGGGCGTCTCCGTTCGTGTCGAAGAAAGTCCTCCTTCAGGTCGCTTCGTGGGCATTTATTTGCTTCGCTTTTGAACTCTCTTGGGCGATTTCGTGTCGCATTTGCTTTTGTGTTGAAAGAAGACGTCTGTTCACATTCTTTTGTTTATTTTCACTTTGTACGGTTTGGGTTTGGAGTTGAAGGTTTACGGTTTAGGCGGCTTCAAAGGCGCGGAAAGTTTGCCATTTACAAAAAGCGGGAGGGTTGGGGGGGGGCGCGGACCCCCCCCCATTTCAGCTTCCAAGAGCGGGCCCGCTGAACGATTTTATGCGGCCTTTGTGTGTCTCTGAATTTCCATGTTTCTGCTTCTGATTTATTCGCTTTTAACCCCCTTAAGCGATTTCGCGTGGGCGTCTCCTTTCGTGTCGAAGAAAGTCCTCCTTCAGGTCGCTTCCTCAGGCCTCCGTTAAGCCTTTCTTCAAACCAATCCTAGGCCTGCCTTGAAGCCCTCCTGGGTTTAACCTGGGTTTGAACCTGGGTTTTAACCTGGGTTGTGCTTTAAACTTGGGTTTCAAACCTGGGTTAGAACCTGGGTTTCAAACCTGGGTTCGAACCTGGGTTATAACCTGGGTTTAAACCTGGGTTTTTAAACGGGTTTAAACCTGGGTTTTAAACCCGGGTTCCAAATCTGGGTTAGAACCTGGGTTTCAAACCTGGGTTTGGAACCTGGGTTTAACCTGGGTTTGAACCTGGGTTTTAACCTGGGTTAAACCTGGGTTCATTAAACCCGGGTTCCAAACCTGGGTTAGAACCTGGGTTTCAAACCTGGGTTCAAATCTGGGTTATAACCTGGGTTTAAACCTGGGTTTAACCCGGCGTTGACCCCAGGTTGGAACCCAGGTTTAACCCAGGTTCAAACCGGTTCAAACCCAGGTTAAACCCAGGTTTCAAACCTGGGTTCCCTGGGTTGTTGTTGTTGTTCCCCCCCCCCCCCGGGGGGAGGGAACCCAGGTTCAAACCCAGGTTCTAACCTGGGTTAAACCCCGGGGGGGGGGGGACCAGCCTCGTTTCAAACCTGGTTCAAACCTGGGTTATAATCTGGGTTTAAATTTGGGTTTAACCCGGCATTGAACCCAGGTTCGAATCCAGGTTTAACCCAGGTTCAAACCCAGGTTCAAACCCAGGCTAAACCCAGGTTTCAAACCTGGGTTCTCTGGATTGTTGTTGTTCCCCCCCGGGAAAGGGAAACCCAGGTTCAAACCCAGGTTCAAATCTGAGTCAAACCCCGGGGGGGGAGGGGACGTAGGTCTGTAAATATGGGAAGATCCCACCTCGCCGAGACTCGTTTGCCTTGGTCAGGCATCCCTTGATGATGCTTCTTAAAGAAGGTTTTATCCTTCGACACAGCGAACCCAAGCTGCATCATTGATCAGTTGCACAACGGCCAAGGAAGCTGAGAAAGATACAGTCCACTCAGGACTGATTACGTCAGCAAATGAAGATTGATTGGGCACTGTATCTTCCTTCTTGCCAGAGCCCATGTCGGGAAGCTGCATGTCCTGGTTTACCTGGCAGACTCGGTACAAGTATGGTTTCGATGGTCGCAAAGAAAAGGAGCCAAACTATTTCAGGGAAAGCAATGATGTTGTACTGTCGCCTTGTAGAGTAGAGAGCCCATTGGCGAAGACCACGGCGGGCCGGTACTTCTTCGACACGTCCTACATCATCAGGCAATCGGTCTTAATGCATTTGAGCAACGCCTGGGCACCTCCGCCAGAGCGCTCTCTGGGGAGAGTGTTCCAGCACTCCATACTGTTGTCGCTACGAGGCTAGTTTCGAGACAGGGGTAGAATTCGAAACTTGGAGGGTCTGTCGATTTCGAGGGCTGGAGGCCGTTATCTTGGAGGTTCCAAGTGCTTGCAAACTGGGCGCGCGCGGCTTCGAAAGCAGTTTGAGGGCGCGCGGAGGGCTCGCGAGCTGCTAGAGGGCGCGCCGTCGTGCTCCGGAGCCGTTCGGGGAGCGACGCGCGCTTACGCACGCGAGTCTGTTGGCGCGGGGGGCTTGGAGGCAGCTCGTAAGCAGTTTGTGAGCTGCTGGGCTGCAGCTCTTAAGTACTCGTCAGCTGCTGGGCTGCAGCTTTTAAGTCGTTCGTCAGCTGCTGGACGGTGCCACGAAGCTACTTCGAAGTGCTGCGCGCGAAAAGCACCTCTAAAGCCCGTTTTGCAAAGACTTTAGAGCCCTAAGGCCCGCAGCGACAGTGCTCGGAAGTACCGAATTCTGACCCATGTGTCGAACTAAGGCCTGTAGCTATCACAGAGTGGAGTGGTGGAACACCCTCCCCAGAGAGAGTCTTCTGCCTTCCTTAGTTTTCTGCGCGAACCAGCTGCGCGATAGCAGTGTTCCAACCAGCCCCTAAAGCAATTTCGTGCTTCTTGTGTGTTTGACAAAATGTTGGTTTGAAGATGTGTGGTTAAGCTTTTTTTTTGGTTGCGTTGAAAAAACATTTTATAGCGCTATTTATTGTGTTGTTTGGTCTGTCATGTGTGTGTGCCTCTATCTTTGCAGTGGTCAGAAAAAAGACATTAAGGCAGAACAAATGGAGAGTGTAAGACATTACGGGCCCCATATTTTACGAGTAAAACCAGGTTTTTCGTGGATTTTATAGCTGATAAGTAATTACTAAGATATACAATATTAACATAGCGAACTCTTCCATAGAATACAGCTGTTATCAGAAGGCAACACGACTAGCAATCGAACATACCAGTAATCTCCGAAAATAATGCTGCCGACACCCTCATCCGAGCTGAGGCTGTGACCTCAGTATGTATCAGCTCGAGGCTAGTCTTTCAGCATGTATCCTGTATTTGCAATCCGGACTCAAAGCACACATGCATGTTTCTTGCAATCGGTCAGGTGTTGCAGCTGTAACAGCAGAGTCATCAAGGTGACTTTGCCGTTTGAAACACATTTGCTTGACCTAATTACGAATTTGATGGCGAATACCATCTGCGTACCACACTTCGTCCTTCTGTATGATGTCCAGGAAACGATAGGACAAAACATGTAGCATGACATTGTTGAAACAAGAGAATGTAAGAACATGTGATATGCCGAAGTGTACGTGCACAAACTTGATACATTTGCGCAGTGTTCTGTGGTGAGTGTGCACTGTCATACACGCGGATAGCAACGACGCGACATATAAACCCGATTGGACAGGTTGGCAAACCTCTAACGCTCTCCCATCACTTCTTGACGATGCGCTTCATCATCTTGGTGGCAGGGGTCTTCTTGACGTGGCGCTTGATCACCTGGGTGGACGGGGTCTTCTTGTCCGCGAAGGCGCTTTTGGCAGTCGCAGAAGACGCTCGTGGGGATGATGCTGGGCGTCTGCATGTGTACTTCTTGCAAGCTGGGCGCTTAAGCAAGCCGCTTGTCATAGCAGCTTGCTTCCTGGCGGAGAAGGGGTTCAAATGATTGCGGTAGCCTTGACGAGTCAAGTCGTTGTGCCTCTGCACATACAGCAAGACGTAGAACGCGTGAGAGCGTGGCGACTTTGTGTTGAACTGCGAGGCATAACCGCGAAACCAAGCAAAGGTTTGCTCGGCAATGGAGGTGTTGATGCCCTCCAGGCGGTTATTCAAGGTCTTGTGCTGCAGGGGAGAGCAGGGACAGCCAGGAGCATGGCCTTTGGCGTGAAAGCGATCAACGCACCAATGCTTAATGTGTTTGGTGCGTGCGTCTTTCCGGCCTTGCTGAACGCATCTACAGGCTCTGTCATAAACGACGCAGTCCAGTTGTGATGACCTCATCGCCACGAGATGAAGGACATCCAGGGCCACCTGATTATTCTCCGGGTGCTGCATTTCTTGTACTGCAGCTATGAGCCCTGTGCGAGGATCTATGGCCGTCTTTCCGGGGTCTTCCGGCATGCGGTGGAGGCACACCGGAGCATTTCGTGGCCACTTTCTCATGACCATCAAGAACAATCTCCCGGATGGACATGTGCTCGGTGCGCGTCAGCTGATGCTTGTGCCACCAAGAAGTGTAATCCGCCATGAATGCGTCGGTGAGTGGATTGTCCAGGTCGATGGCGGCGAGCTTGTCCTTGGCGTGTGTTGATCGGGCCCACATTTTCTCAGCTTCGCGGATCATGTAGTAGTATAAGCTGGCGATACTGTACGCTTGATTCCAGCTCGCATGCTCGTTCTCATCTTGCCATAAGACCTCTTGTTGTGCCCATGCAATGGCATTGTTGCTGACACAGCCGCGAAACTGGAGTGCATCATGGTACTCCAGGAACTCCTTTGCGAAGGCGGTGTTGCTGTTGACAAAGATGACGTCCATCTGATCATGCTGCATTGTGTTAAGCTTCTTGCCACCCTGTTTCCTGTAGTTGTACAAATGTCGTATGCGACAAGACTTCGACGTGCAGCGCATGGGGATGTGCTCAACTTCCTGTACACCCCGCAAGGTGTAATCCCAGGGTCGCAATAATAGGGGGGGGGGCTCCCCCCGCCCCCCAGCGGGTCCAGGGATTAGGGCGGTCACAATAGAATGGACAGTGGGGGGTCGCATTAATAGAATGATTGGGGGATTGGGGGGCGGGCTGGTTTTGACTGCTTTACTGCAGCTACAGGCCTAGTAGAGGCCCAGTTCTGACTACTTTACTGCAGCTACAGCCTTAGTAAAGGCCCAGTCTTTGCTACTTTACTGCAGCTAGAGCCTTAGTAGAGGCCAGTCTTTTACTACTTTACTGCCAAACCTAGGCTGTCCAGAAAAGTTTCTTTAAATGTGAACCCTTTTTAGAGGTCGCAAAGCCTACAAACGCCTACGCAATGGAAACTCCTCTTCCGGACCCTACAGGCCCCCAAAAAGTTTCTTTAAATGTGCCCCATTTAATAATGCGACCCTGGGATTACAGTCTGGCTGCCATAACGTCGGCAGACGCTAAGGTAGACTGACACTTCACACAGTGTTGCAAGGGCGTTCGGAAGGAAACGCGGAAATCATCATGAACACCCGTCGCAGTACCCTCAAGCATGTAGGCACGATCGTTGTCCATGGGAATGCTTTGGGGAATGTTCCGAAGTTGAAACCATGTCAACCCAGAAAGTTGACAGCACAAGGATGCCAGGCCATCTGCAGCAATGGACAGTCTACGTGCACCTGCAGTGCTGTCAACAAGCCGAACCTCACCGGATTCCTCGAAAACCACAGCAAACCAATGTCCAGTGCCATCAGACATTTGCTGGTGACAAAGCCACTTCTCCTTCGAGCAGACATGAGTGAGGACGTCAGTCATAGGCTCCAAGATCATGCGGACGGATTCCGAGCTTGGCTGTTGCGAAGCGAAACATATGATCTCGTTGAACTCCTTGGCGGAAAGCGGGCCTTCATGATCAGCGAAGTATTGTAAATCAACACTAGGCTCTACGTTGGCGATGCCATTGAGTAGACAGTTCTGGAATGATGTGATCACATTGCCGTCCAAAACAACACTCAGCATGTCCCGCCGAAGAGCCAGACGGGCTAGTGTCATCGAAGGTGTCGATGTGGGCCAGGACTTCACGCATCCATCATGCGTGCGTGAATGGGTTTTATTTTCCGCCGAAAGTGTAGACAAAGTTTGTCGAAAAAGGAAAACAGTGTTTTCACTTGTGTGTGAGTGACACTAGAGAAACTTTGCCGTGCAGCTTTCGGCTTGGAGTTGGATCTGTGATCCAAAAAGTTTTTATTATAGAGTAGCTTGTAGTGCTCCGCAGCAGTGGGAGTCGTCAGCGACGACTTTCCACTCCCTTTGATATAACTGTCAGTGCCAGTTATGGTTGACCAAGCAGCCCGCACGTATGCGGCTGAGTCGCCAGAGGCGCCGTACCCTAGAAGGGACGGTCGAGAAAATCAGTTGGCAGCGCCACAATGCCTGCAACGCGTGCGACAGTGTCGCTCCTGCCTCCGCTTTTTGCAGTGCAATCCAATTTTTGTGCTAGAGCAGGCCATGCGTGAAGAAATGGCACAACAGGAGATAAGTTATCTCCTTTGGGCCCTGAGCTGTGCCATGCGGGTAGACCCCGCGGTCGTCAGCGACGACCACGAACCCCTGAATCGAGCGGGGGAAGGGGAGTCCAAAGTTTGGCCCCCCTTCTACCCTTTTGCGCAGATGCAAGGGGAACAACCGGACACCTCAGGCAGTGCCTACCCGATGCACCGGTATACTATGTCGCAGCGCGACGTGCCTATGCGGCCAGCGGCCACGCCTGGCTGGCCGTATACCGGCCTTTTTGACTGGCCCCCCAGTGGGGAGGAAGATAAGGTCCCCAAGCTCCAGTGGAGACTCAATTGGGTGGACGCCCTAGAGGGCCACGTGGCTCCTAAGGTTGAAGCCAGCGGCTTCCATTGGCACCCAGAGGGTAAGGGCAAAGGCAAGGGTGGTTGGGTCAAGATTCTCCCTTCGGAGAAGAAAAAGAAAAAGACCCACAAAGCTGCCAGCGGCAGTACCGACCCCACCGCCTCGTCCAGCACTGCTCTGCCGACAGCGTCGGCATCAGCCTCGGACCCTCCCTTGCCACCGCCAGCGGCCGCCCCTACCAAGCCCGCTGCGGCCACAACAGCCCGCCCGCAGCCGAAGCTGCCGACGTCGCCCCGCCAGCGGCGGAGCCGGCCATTGAAATCATCGACACTGACAGTGATCAGAACTCGGGAGACTCCGAGGTATCCTTGGCTAGCAGCCAGGCCGCAACGGCAGTGCCGTTCGCGCCGAACGCGAACACTGTGGTCGTGTCCAGACCGCAGCGGCGCAATCGCCAGCGAGGCTGGCAGTTTCAGCCTGGGGAGGACCCCCAAAATAACGATTGGCGTAACCTCGGGTCAGCGACCGACAACAGGTACCCCGGCCTGCGTGCGCTAGTAGCGCACGCCAGAAGGGTCTCGCCGCGCCTGCACGTCACAGACGTGCACGAATGGCCCTATTGGGCAGCCCCCAACTCAGAGAGATGGGAGAGATACCCGGAGAGGCGCGGCGACCTCATGTGTTGCATGCCTTGCGCGCAGCAGGGCTGCATCTCCCAGGGTATGGCAATTTGTGGGCGGCACTGCTCAGTGGGCAGGAGCCCCCACAATCTCACGAATGCGACACCTGCTATCGCAGCAGCCGGGGTCAGCGACCCCGAAACCGCGGCGTCAGGGGCGGCCGTCGTTAGGCACTGAGTGCAGCGCGTAGCTGCTGGCCTCTCAGCGAGTCGCCCGCCGTCGGTGCAGTGCACCTCTTTTTGGTTCACCGCCGACAGCTCGGCAGCCCCTGCAGGGCGGGCGTTTCCGAGGTACTTGGAACCTCGCCCACAGCGGCGGGCCGACGGCTTGCTTTGAATGGCGGCAAAAGATCGCCGCTAGCCTTTTTCAGTCGTGCGTCACGCGAGCCTGGTAGGTCTCCTCAGCTGAGTCAGCTTCTTAAACCGTGTCGGTTTTCAAGCAGTGCTTTCATACCGCAGCCATTTCAGCTTAGTAAGTCGCCCCCCGTGCCCAAAACAACCCCGCTTTCAGCGGAAGCTTCTGTCTGCCATCAGCGATGGCGAACCCGACAAATGAGCAGATGCTGCAGGCGCTCAGCGCAGTGCCGGAGGCCCAGCGGGCCGCCCTCTACGAAGCCGCCGTCTCCCTATCAGAGATAGGGGACGTGGTGGTGAATGCAGCAGAGGCAGCGGAACTCGCTGGTTGGACGAAGCCCGCCAGTGGCGGCACAGAAGCCAATGCAGTCGCGCTTCAGCGACTTCTGCTCGGCTACGAGCCCCCAGTGGTGCCGGCAAACACCGAGCCACCAGTGGCGGCGCGTGGTGTTTCTTCCGACGGCCACCGCAGCGCGGTGGACAGTTTGCCTCTTGCGGCGGCTGCAGCGCAGGCCGCGCGACAACGCTCCCCGACCAGTCCCGCTGAGGACGCGGGCTCTGGCATCAAAGAAGAACCGCTTCCAGCGGAAGCTCCTTCGGCAGCGCCAGAGGATATGGACGTGGAGGAGCCCAGCGGGCGGCGGGATGAAACCGAAGACGACCGAGGCTCGGTCGGAGAGCGACTCCCCGCCACCGCCAGCGCAGCCGCACCCTCCCCTTGAGGGCAAGGTGGCGCGCAAGTCCTCCAGCCCGGCAGTGCCTGGCGTCGCTGGGACCCGGGCCAGCGGCCCGGCATCAGACGACAACAACACTGATCGAGACGATCAGGAAGATCGCCCGCCAGCGGCGGAGCGTCCGCCAGCGGCGGAGCTTCAGCGAGTCTTCGCATGTTCTGTCTGCGACAACATGCAGATGAACATCTGGAGCGATCCGTCGTCGGAATTCGTATGCAGTGCATGCGGCGAGCTCCACCCCTTCAAGGCAGCAGTGCATGCCTATGATCAACCCAGCGCCAGTGGCGCTGTGGGACAGTTTACAGGCGATCGTCGCAGCAAGGCCTGGCAGTGTCCAGAATGCGGCGTGATGCATTGCCCACGCTGCGCAAAGAACTACTCTTGCCCAGGCACTGTCCCGCGGACAGACGGCAAGCTCGAGTACACGGGCGAGCGCCGCCCTACTAGGGGGCCGCCCGAGTCCCTTCGGTTGACCTTGCAGCGCGAGGCAGCCGAAGCCCGTGAGCGCGAGCACCGCGATCGGGAGGCCCGCCGCAGAGACGGCAAGGGCAAGGGCAAAGGCAAGGACCAGAGGTCCCGCCGTGACGACGAGGACCGGGACCAGTGGTCCCGGGGTCGCTGGTCTTGGGACCACGACCGGCGCTGGAACTACCGCGACTGGTAGTGACGCCAGCGGCGTTTTCCAGTGCCCCCCGAACAGTGTTCGGACACAGTTTTGAAAGGCCAGTGGCCCTTTCGTCTGCGCCCGTTTCACACAGGTGCAGAGCACAGTAGTGCCGGCACAGTCCGGCCACAAGAGCCTTCGCTGCCCACCGGCCTGTCTGCGGATCGCAGAAGGCAGGTGCAGCGCACCTCAACAAGCGGGCTCAGCCCAGCCACTAGCTCCGCGAAGTCGGAAAAAGAACACCGCAGGTTGCGAGTGCACACAGACCTTGTAGGGCTGCAGTTTTCTTTTGCCTAGTAGGTTTCTACGCGCTTTCCCAGACCTGGTAGGTCCTTTGGAGGTAGCTCTAGGTGCAGTGCCACCAGCGAGGCCTTGAGTTCTCCAGTGCGTGATTGCCGCAGCCTTTTAAGCCTCCCTTCTTTCTCAGCTCTCTCTTCCTCCTCTCCTCCCTCAGGACTGCCCGGGGAGGGTGCGGGTCGCAGCGCGTCGCTTCAGTTGAGCTTTCCAGAGTGAGTGCGCTTGTGCTCGTGTGCTGGTAGCCCTTTCTTGCAAGCCGCCTGGACAACAGCCGTTGGCTTGAGCAGTGCTCCTCTTCCTTGTGTCAAGGATGCTGCCCAGGGGCAGCGCCCCAGAGGGCGACTTCAACGACCAGGTTAGTAACCTCTGGTCGTCAATACCACGCCGAGCTGGTGCTCGTCAGCCGTGGGAATCAGCCTCATGGTTTGCGCGAAATGCAAGCTGGCCCTGGGAGCTGTCAGTGACTCGCCTCGCCTCTGTGGGCCCCGTGCCAGTGCTGCACGAGTCCAGCCTGATGCTCAAGCGGAAAGCTTCCGCTAGCACCCAGCCGCTAGTAGCGGAAGACACGGCCTTCGCACTTAAGGTCTGCTGCCGTCGTACAGCGTACGAAGGCGACCGCCGCGACAGCGCGGTTTTCAAACTTACGGCCTTGGTAAAGGCATGGCCAGAGGCCTTTGAGATCGTCTCACAGTGTGCCGACGAGGCTGGTTGCGTTGACCTAGACGAGCTCGACTTCAGCATCGAGGCAGCGCTCAGCTATAAGGCCACCAACACAGTGGTACGCCGCCTCAACTCTCTCAGCAATTTTGTCCAGTGGGCAAACTCGCAGGACCCAGTGGTGGTGCCCTTCCCTGTGTCCGAGCGCGCCACTTGGCGCTACATCCAGTGGATGATGCGGAATGGAAAAGGGGCTAGCAGCCCCTCGAGTTTGATTCAGAGTCTGAACTGGTGCTCGGGAGTCTTCGGTCTGTCCTTCGAGTCGGAGGTGACCAGCTCCCGTATCGTTGGCCTCTGTAAGAGCACGGAAGCCAGTGCGCCTCCACCGAAACGGGCCCCTGCCCTTAAGGCCTCAGAGGTGGCCACTCTAGAGCGCATCGCGCTGTCTGGCTCTGTGTACGACAGTGTCGTGTCTGGGGGCTTGTTGTTCATGCTCTTCGCATGCGCCCGCGCCAGCGACGCGGCCCGAGTTGCCTCCTTTTCGGTCGAGCTCCCAGAGGACCCCTGCGCCACAGTGTGGATGCAGGCGAATGTGCACAAAGCGAAAACCGCCGTAGGGGCTAGAAGCCGCCTGCTGCTCCCGCTGGTAGCCCCGGTGGTCTTCTTCGAAGAGTCGTGGGTGAGTCAGTGGCTCGCCAATCGAGAAAAGCTGGGTCTCAGCTCCAGCGGAGAAATCCCGCTGGGGTCAGTGATCCCTGCCTTCACATCGGATGGT